ATATCTGGTGTGACTTTCCAAATCCTTCTGTTTTTTTGGCCGACGAGTGGTGGGGGGATGAGCGAATGGAGGCCGGAGATAAGGTGGGCAGAGATGCCGGAGTCCTCGGGCTCCGGGTGAATTGATTTGGGACGAAACTATGCAAGGCGCCCATGCAAAGTTTGCTTAATTTAGCTCAGACAATGGGGCTCCGTTGAACAATGGCGCACAATGCCATCATCGGGGCACAAGCACACTCTTGTGGTGACCAGACCCCCACAATCGCTTTTTGGGGTCCTTTCGAATGCAATTCGACAGCTCAAACTCCCGGGGGAATTTCGAATTAAGCCGACTAAATATTTCTTATGCAAAATTTTAATTGAACGGGGTGAATTTCTTGTCTATTAAACTTTAAGTCCTATATAATTAAAGATGTGGTTCAAATTCGATCCTAAGCGAGTAAAATTCTGTTTATAAATTAAAGCCAATTCTAAAATCACTTTATAGTAATTAGATACTATGAAAATTAAGTTTACGATACCCAATTTTATTTCAAGAGGCTTAAGATTATTATTATTATTATTATTATTATTATTAAGATTATTTAAATGTTTGAGATTAAATATTTTTTTATATAAAACTGTAAGGCTTAACAAACTATCCTTTATTAGTCATTTACCTTCATGGAAAACATAAACCATTATGTAACTTTTACCGATTCAATATTAAGAAGTTCTATTAAGTTTATTTAGAATTATGTTATATTTCAAGCTAATGTAATGTAACTCAAATTCAAGACCTGCGTTTCGAATACCTTTCGAACACAAAAGTATGTTTTCTGACTCTTTTCCTAAACTTTTTGAAAAGGATGTTATAAAGTTAATCCCAAGAGGTCAGTTGTTGCAGTACTTCAAACTACGGTATCTCTTAGTCGAAACGATAAAGTTTTGAAAACAGCTCCTAATTAGCCCTTCACATTCATGACTTGTGTTCCCAAGGCCCAGCAAGTGCTATCTGTGACCAAAGTAAGCCAGCGGACACCTCAGGTGTTGCGGGATGCCACATCTCTCAGGCGCTGGCTGACCCCCAAAGCGCCACAATTTATGGAGTCGCAGCAAGTCGCCTTGCGCCCGCTGATCGCGTCTTGCGAATCGCGTTCCATTCACTGGCGATATTTCACTGCTTTATTAAGTTAATTTCATATATCACAACTGCAGGCGCCAGTCGCTTGTAGGGCATTTGAGTGGATATTCCCGCGACATCCCCGTTCAGAGCACTCCTTTTGACCACGACGGGCTGTGGTGCGCAGCTTGAGCTCGTTACTTTGATGCATTTGGGGCGCGCGTTTATTTGTGGACGCAACTTGAACAACAGCGGGGAACTGCACTGCACAAATTGTTTACTGGAAACTACAGTTTCCAAAAAATTTAAATTATATTAAAAAGTTCTTTACTTATACTTTACTTATATATGTATGCCCTTTTTAAAATTTTTAAAGATATTTCTTGCTTGAAGAATAATATTCCTAAAGTAAAAACCTATCAATTGCTTGCCAATATTTTTTAATTGCTTTAAAAATGTATACTATGAAAATACCTAAATACTTTATTTTTACTATTTAGTATTGACAATCTATTAATTAAATTGTTGGATAATATGTAAATATTTGTTTTTATTTTATTGATTGACTTAAATAAAATGTAAGACTTTTTTATTGTGTACTTCTTACTGGCTGGCCAGGCTAACTGGCGTTTTGGTCTTTGCAAGTGCACTAAAACAAGCGACTGGGGCTCGATTAAGATAGCTCACCAAATCTGCGGCCCGAACAATGCCCAAATTGGCAACATCACTCAATTGATTTGCGGCGACCCCCGTCTCCCTGAAAAGTCGACTGTTTCTGTTTTTTATGCCGGCGACCGCCCATTAGCCACATGCGCGCCTGCGTGACACAACGGCATCAATCAAAGTTTCACCCGTTATTCCCCATGACGTATGTGTGTGTGTGTGGGTGGTGGTGGTGGATTTTCGGGTGGGGAGAGGGGTGGAGGTGACAAGGGCGGTATTCGCGGTTCGACTTTGCCATAGGCGTGTATTGGATTTGTTTGCCTGTGCCGGCTGCGCGTAAAAAGACATTTTGACAAATTCAAGTAGCGCCATCTACACTCGACTTTAATAGCTTTTATACTGCTTGTCACGATATTTCATCAGTCAAACGGGGCCGTGGCATGGCCCAAACCCAAACCCAAACCACGGCCAACACAAGAATAAATGGATTGACACACATGGCACTGGCATTCGTGGCAGGAGGGGCCTATAAAAAATAAACCTAGAGGAAGCGCGAATTTTATTCGATGTTATTTCCATTTGAAAATGAGTTATTGACACATGTAGCCACCCCCGAAAAAAGGGACAAAGCGTCGCAACCGCAGGACCGGGTTACCGATCCCCCAATCCCCCTGGATTCCCGGATTTCCATTCCCCGATCCCCCGGAAAACTTTGGAACATTGCGTGGGAGCGGCCGGGCAAAGAGCGCGCATAAATTTTGGGCTGCCAAAAGAAAAAAACAAAGGGGGACTCCCCTTGGTTTTCCCCCCATAACACACTCAGATTGCGATTTGCCTGCTTTCTTTTCTCCGATTTGATTTATTTTATTTGCTTTGTGCGGCGCCGCAAGTGCTTCGCCCAATGGTTTATTAATATCGTAGGCGTTGCTAGTAACGTGCCGCTTGTGTTTGGCGAAGTGATTCGCCAGCCGGATACGTTATTATATTATATTCCCACAACGAGGCCGATGAAGGGCGGTTAATCAAATATCCCTCATTATGGTCGTTATAACACAAGTTATTCGCCTCGATATAAGCATTTGTGGGGATAGTTTAGCTAATTTGGAGATTAAGTAGTGGGTAAACTTGCAATCGAAAAATGATTTTGGGTTATATCCTAAGACCAGCAGTAATAATTTAATTTATTATTAATAGTCAATGTTTAAAACTATAACCTAAGTGGATTAAGTTTTAATATCTAGAACCTCATTTGGTTTAAACAATGTCAATGTATCTTATCTTTGAATTTGCAATTTGCTTTAAATAATGTAAACCAAACAAATGTTTTATTTTATAGTTAATTTTTTAGATTATATTTTTTAGATATATATTTAGATAGAAACGGATAAAATTGTTTGTAATCTGAAGTAAAACTTAAATACTTAGGAATCATTTTTAAATTTAAAATATATTTTGTGCTTTTCAGCCTTCTTACTGTATTATCATCTATTTTCAAATCAGTTTTACCCAATCAACGAAGCCATTTTGATGCATATTCTTAAAGTTTCATTTAACTACAAAGCTTAAAGGACTCCAATGACCCTGAAAATCTTATTTACCAAAAACTGTCCCTTGAAGAGCGAAGTTGCATTCCCATCTAGACTAAAGCATATGGAGCAGGATGACAGAACTAGTTAGATGACTGATTGATGAAGTAGATGAACGAACGAACAAGTGATGAAGCGGATTGCGTACGTGTGTGCCGCATTAGATATTCATACGCACCGTGGTCGGGATAGATGTATGTAGATTGCGTATGGGGGCGATGAGACGACGAATGTCCTGGGGCCGCCCAGGCGCTGTTGCTGTCTGATAAATCACATATTTTCGCTGATCAAATCAATCTAATTGACATCACTCAAAATGATGGCGGAAAAGTTTCCACATTCATTTTCGCATTTGCAACAAAAAAAAAAGAAAAAAGAAAATGCGGATAAATGAGTTCCACCCCCACGAACGCCCCGGGGTCTGTTTTGGTTTAATGGTGGCTCTGTTTTGCTCTTGTGGTGCGTTCCCATTCCGCAGCATCCAGCATCCATCTCCTCATCTCCTCACCTCCCATTTTCCATCTCCCAGTTGCCTATGCGGTAAAGCAGCGTGATTTATTTTCATTCCGATGGCAACGCCACCCAAATTCGACGCTCCGTCATCCTGACATTCGAATTGAAATGCAAATTCTGACGAATGTGCGCTGGTTTTTGCGCACATGCCAGCATGGAGTGGAGCGGTACCGGGAGGGCAAGGACATGGGTGCGGGCGTGGGTGTGGGAAAATGGGAGGACGACGGATTGACTGACGAATGACTCCCGGCAGCCAGCGGCGACAGTAGGCGGTAAATGAGCGAGCTATCCATGTGTGTTACATTCTGGATACCACACTCGTATATACACCATGCATCAATGTACTCCACACACACACACACACTCATGTCCCGAATCCATCCACATAGATATGGATTTGGATTTGGAATGGCATATGGGCATACGTATACCTTCGCATGTGCGTATCATTTCACATGCATCCCACGCCATTTGAATTGAATAGCATCTCATTTACTCTCGCATCATTATTTTTTATTCGCGTACCTAAGACTCTTGAGGACGAAATCCGGCTGCCATGCCGTGTCCAATCGATTACTGGAGTGAGGTGTTGCCTCAATCCGAATATATCGGATGAGTTATCATTTAAAGTGGATTCAAGTACGGCTTACATTATCGCCTATTAACTTTAAAGGATTATTAAAAACTCTTCAAGTCACATAAACATATGAAGATGAATGCAAGTTAATGCATACAACTTTGAGTTGCAGAGAATTTGTTCACGTCGAGAAAATAGATCAAGTTTAAGATTTATCTAAACCGACCCAACGAAATAAAAGTGGTAACTACTCAATGTCAAGTAAGAACCAAATTATAATTACCAAGATAAGTATATATTTTAAATCTTGTTAATATAAAGAAATTAAAATTTTGGCTTCATTAGATTATTTTAAACTTTTCTGTTAATGGTGTGAAACTAACCTTAAATTAAAGTTAAGCACATCGGAATCCTAATATTTCATATCTTATTACTTGCCTAAGAGAGGCCAACTTTAGGACCTAACATTGTCCACTGCCCATTTTTGTAACCCCTCTTATTAAGGTATAAAGGATAGCCTATGTACTCGGTACTATGTTACATACATGGCAAACACTCACCCTGAAACCCCTGCACTGGATCCATCCTCCGCCTCTAATGAAAGCCTCGTCGGTTAATTCAACATCTGCAAAATGCAAGGATGTAGATATTTTTAAAACAATGTCTGTTACCAGGCGGGCCTACTTAAAGCCGGCATCATCCGCTTGGGCAGGAGCAGGAGCAGAAATAGGAACAGGAGCAGAAACAGGAGCAGGAGCCCGTCCATCAGGCAGGACGTATGTAGTACGTGGTGTCGGCCAGCATGTAAATGCTGCTTACAGGCCCAGACAATATTAACAATTCCCCGCAACTTGGCCGACACTGTACTCGAAGGGTCCCTGGATTTCAGTATGTGTGCGGACATTATATGCACATAAAGTGCTCTGCTCCTTCAACTGCAAGCCCTCGTCCTTCGTCCTTCGCGACACTCGTGGCAACCATGTTTGTGTTTTTGTCCCCGCCATAGTCGCTGCTCCTTGGCCACGTTAACAACTGTATCCCTTGTGGGCGCTCTCGTTTGATGTAGAAGAGGATGTCCTTCGTGCCCTGTAGGAAATGCTGCCTGGCCGTGTCCTGCCATCGTCCTAAAAGTATGCTGCAATATTTTTCAGATTTTAGCGAAGATCGTAGGGGTAGAAAATTTATGAACATTCAGGGATGAAATTCCAATAGATATGCTTATAAGTGTGTTAGCTATTTGTAATTTATTTATAACAAATAAATAGAAATTATTAAAATTATCCAAACTTTTTCTCATTTTTAAATGGTAAATGCTCTTACAAATATTCTAAAAAACATATTAATTATGATGTTGTATAGCTAAAAACGATTGTAAGTACCAAAAATTAAAATAAAATGTATAAATTCAAAAAGTGTTGGTCTTAGAAATATTTACATTTAGTTTTCCTTAAAAGTTAAACTTAGTTTTACATTTTAAGGAAGCTTAAAAAGCAAAGTAAAGTTTTTAAAGTGTTAAGATATATTATATGTTAAGTAATTGTTTACAGTTCAATGCTATAATTTAATGAAAAACTTATGTATATATTTTATAAATATTTATTTTAATTAAGCAATTTGTTTTTAGCTTAGATACAAAAATATTTTTGTTAAAAATAATAGAATAAATAAAAATAATAAAATAATAGCTTAAAAATAAACCCAACATCAAATTCTGTCTCAATTCCGTGCACTGAAACTCATTGAAAATATCTGGACTGTTTCCCTTATAGTCCATCCACATATGAACAATCGTGTGTACCTAACACTCATGTGGATGTGCCTCGTGTGTGTTGTTCTTGGACTGCCACTGCCACTGCCGCTGTCAGTGACGTCGTCGTCGTCGTTGCCGTTGCCGTTGTCGTTGTTGTTGTCAGTGTCGGTCTCGGCGGTCCAGTCGCTGGTGGAGGCAAAGTTGTTCAAGTGGCAGCTTAATTCGCATAAAATGAAAACACGCTGTCTACATTGTTCCTACAACTTTTGGAGTTTTTTATGGCACTTAAAATGGCTGCTAGACAAAGGCTTAACAAACGGCTACTGCAGGATCTACGGCTCCTGCTCTCACACTTTATTGCGTCTGTGCTGGCGTATGTGCTCCTTTTATTTTGGCCCACTTGAAGACAATGATGGCGTATCTAACAGGCTTATTAAAGGTGGTCTAGTCAAAAAAAAAAAAGCAAACGTAAAGAAAAAGAAAAATGCAATCTCCACTGGCAAGAGAAAACCGGTTGGTAACCCGGGGGTCTTTGGCTGATTCGCTACGTGGATATGGATATGACCTCTTTTAAAGTGTCGCCTCCACAGCAACACTCCTGCCCGAAAATCAATAAATGCAAATTCATTTTTATTGTTAACATTTAAATAAAAGGTTGGACTTCATGGGCAGTATGCAATGTAAAAAGCCGGGGAATGCCACCTCCGATAAACCAACATCAATGAAAGCACTCACATTTTTTTATAAATTCACTGTTCTTCGTCCGCAATCGCCAGACCTTTGCGGGCGCAACTCCATTTCGCCCAGTCCACCTTTCACACGGACATCAGACATCAGAGTGTTAAACGGAAAGTCCGCAAATAATCGACTACGGTGGATCCCAGTTTTAAAGCAGGAAATTCAAGGAATTTAAAGGCTCATTTTCTGGTAATGCAATCAGTTTGAAATATGTAAATCTATTTAATTTTAAACTAACGCCATGTTAAGGAATAATTTCAAATATCTAATGAATATTATAAAGCTTGACATTTTAAATGCTTAAGTGTCGAGTTTGGAAAATATCAATTTTAAATGATATTTTTTCTGTTCATGACAAAAATTCAATTAAAACTATAATTTTAACTTTGAAAAAGTTAAATGTCATAGAAATGATCACCCCTATGATGAGCTAGGGTTAATAATAAAGACATTATTTAAGAATTTTTGTAGAAAACATTTCATTTACTTCCTGCAATTGGAGTCTGGTATTTTTTAATAACAGTCAAGGGGTTGCCACAAAAAGCGTGCCAAGCGAATGAACAGCTTAATCGCCAGCACGAACACTAAACACTGTAGCGGTGGCTCCCGTTAAAAGCGACCCCTAAAAGCCATAAACTAAACCTGTTCCCCCAGCGGATAGTTGGGCTTTTCATAGCTGGACGATTTTTGAAGAAGTCTCAACTGTTAACTTAACGATACCCCAACTAAATTCAAGATTTCTGAATGAAAAAGATTTCTTTTATTTTACATTTTCTATCAAAGGTAAAAAATAAATGTATACACACTATAAAACAAAGCTTGCCATAAATCATCAACATAAACTAATATTCATAAATCACTGCTTAAGATATAAATTATTGGTAAGTACTTTCTTTACTAATTATAAAAATGTATAAAAAAATATATATTAACGATAGACATAATTATAACAATAACCATGCGCAGTATTTTTGCATTGCCTCGTTCAAAACAAATTCCACATTTAATGGTGAGAATGGGTTGAAAGCATTAATAAGTTATGTTTGTTTAGAAAAAAATTAGCAATCTTTCGCAATAATTTACACTCTTAACAAGGCTTTCCCGAAGAAATGTGCGTGCAGTGGCGCTCTTCATTAAAATAAAAATTCATTTCGCTTCAAAAGTATTCATATCGCATATGGGAGGACGGCAGGCAGACGATGGATTCACTCTACCATCAAATGAAAAAAATTCTATTTTAGTCGAACGCGAGAAATAGTTGCATGCCAACAAAGTAGACTCGTTCCTAGACTGGATTATGAATATTCAGCGTTGGCCTTATTTTTCGCACAGAAAATGTAGAAATGTGACCCAAAACCCGAGAGCGTGTCAAGTTGGCGTTTAGAAAATATAGGTATTTCGTCTGCTCACTGGCCAAACTCAAAATATATATTCCCTATTTTGGAATAATCAATCGAGTACGTAAGGTATCGCAATTCCCACAGCCAAAAGCAGGCAACGACCCTTCGTGTAGGTCCAACTTCTTGCTCCACTGCACCCAATCCGGTTGCATGTGGATGTGGCCAACTGGCCGTCGCCGATCTGCGGTGTTGCAGTTGCAGTTGCAGTTTAGCGGTTATATTCTGCATAAATGAATATGTAATTTATTTTATTATGGTGCAAATTGCGAATTGAATTGTTTTTAATTATTGCATACTTCGCTGGCAACCGCCAATTTTTTTCCTAGCCGCAAACAAAGTCTAGCCAGTCGGTTAGTTACGAGCGTATGAGCACGAACAATTCGTACTTATTCGCGATCGGAAACAAAATACTTTTGGACACAAAGACCAAAACAAAACTGTTAATTAGCTTGGCTTTTAATAGCGAATAAGGAAGGTCTAAGCAGGAAAGATTGAAGTGATTTAAATAATATGCTTGCATGTTCACTTTTTTGACTTTAATTATACTGTTTAAGGCGAAAATAATGCAAATTAAGTGATTTATATGAAATTCGTTGATCTATTTATTAACATTAAATTTAATGAGCTAGGTTTTTGTAATTTTGAGAATGCGAAATGCAGACGAAAAATATAACGTTTTTGCAATTATATTTTGAGGGCAAAAATTAATAAATAATGGGAAATTAATGCAGTAATTATTATCATAATTATGGTTATTATAAATTAATTTCAAAAATACAAGCAATGATTGCATTTTTGCATGAAGCAATAAAGTAAATTTACTGCCTTATAAAATAACGAAATAATATTTTACTTTTTACTCATTTCCAATTTAAGAATTATTGTTTTATACTGTTATATTTTCCTTTGACTGGCAACCACCCCCAATTTCATTCCTTCTAAACGTAAAAACCTCACAAGAATCGAAAAAAAGATAAATCATAACACTAGCGAATTTGACCTGTGACATGTGCACTTAACACATACTTTAGTTTAATACATTTTATGGCCGTTCTCGGACCTTCAAAGCAGTATGCAAATTTAGTTTGCGTTTCGTGTGCGCTTCGGAGGATATTACTTCGTTCTCGACTGGCTCCATACCTTTTGGCCATAACAAGAGTGAGTGTGGTAGTTGAGCTACCTGGCCAACAGCCGGCTGCGGCTTTCTTGAACTAATTAAAAATTCCAGCGCCGCAATTGCGAAATTGGTCTCTTATCGGTTGTATCATCGACGCCACGAACGCTTAAACATGATGCGCTGATGAATAGCTGCCTAGGCTAAGGGTGTACCTCATATCGTATATGTTTTCGACGGGGATGGGTTTGGGGGGGGAAAATGGAAAAGCATATTTATTTATGAATACGATTATTTTGCCCATGATAATTTTTTGTTTCTCTCGCTGGGCAGGTTTATTTTGCAATGTCGATGGTGCCCGCAAAAGCGACGGAGGCGTTTTGCGAAACAATTTCTGTTTATGGTCCCAGACACGCGACGAACATAGTTGCGTGGCTTTTCATCATACGAATAAAAAATATAAATAACAAGCGCAGGAGAAAACTCTTAGTCGCTGCGCCAGGTATTTTTTTAAACCCATTGCATGGAATTTCTTTGCTCGCCAAGGAAAACTAATGGAAACGTAGCCACAGTCCGATGGTCCAGCACCTTTGATACAAAGGAACCAAACTTTTGTAACCAACTTTAAATAAAGTCTTAACTTTTCACACATAACAAAATTTCTATTAAAACGATTGTCTTATAAATAGCATTTACATAATTTGAATAATACCTTAAGTTGAATAACAAACCCTTTCTTGTAAATATAAGACTTATTTCAAATATCTAAAGGTATTTACCTTTAAGTTCAATCAATTACAATTTTTGTGAAATACTTTTTAAACGTAAAATTTATTGGACTTGATTTTATAATGATTGTAAATAAATGTATGTAACTGCCAGTTTTACTAACTCGCCAATAAATTGATTATAGTAATTATAGCAATGTCAGCACTTAATTTATATTAAATTTGATATACTTTATGTTTTTATTAATCGCTTTATTACAATTTTTGACTGATTGGAAGCTTGTTTTGTCTAGTCATGACTTGATAAATTTAATTTAATGTTAGTGGAGTTACTAATGTTTACGGGTCGTCCTAAATAGTAAATTTTAATCAGCTATATTGAATATCTTTAGTCATTCATTGTTGATTGCCAATTGTTATTGTTAAAAAGAATGTGAGTTAGTAATTTATGTACTGGCTTTTTATAATTATCCCTTCAAGTTTTTACTAAGCTTTCAAGTATTTGTATAATAAATTAGTTAAATGTTTTTAAAAATCGAAAAGTGAACATAGAAAAGCAACATAGAAAATTAATATAATATTATTATTATTTTGTATTATAAATGTTTTTACATCTATTGTGTTAATAAAATCCTCTTAAGTTAAATACAGAATCAGCAGCCACTTTTGAACCACTGATAGATGGTTATGTAATGCACTATCACGCAATTGTTGACTGAACAATACTTACATGAAAGCGCTGTGGGACTTTGGCTCAGGTTCAGGTAGTAGCAGTTACCGTTGGCCCAGTGCAAAGTCCATGCGACCGGGGGTCACTTGTAAAGCTTCAGCGTGCCCGGGGTCATGGGCGTTACAAAACCGCCGAGACGTTGACAAGCACGTGACGGTAGACTTTGGCACTCTGGTGTTTGTTTATGTCGTGTGGAGCTGTTGATCTAACGGTACTCCCACCTTGGCCCAATCAGGGGCACGCACTTTTGGGTTATTCACAACTTTGGGTTACTTTTGCGGATACCGAGACAACCACCCACTGCCACCCACCGCTACAACCTGTTTCGACCTTGCGCGCCCACTCTCGCCCATGATGTGCGCATTACCGAGTTCGAGCGCATACTAGTTGTGTTGCATGTTCGCTTTTGGCCAAAAGCGCTCGTTGCAAAAGAGAGTGACAGGGAGAGCGAGAAAGAGAGAGGGTTGCCGGTTTAAAAGTTGCGCATGTGCAGTGGAAAACGGGTTTTCTCCTCCAGTGCGAAAGAGATGGGTATGCCATCGGCGGGCGTTACTGCTCTTTCCAGGTGGGCGGCATGGGCGGCATGGGCGGCACGGGCGGTGGGCGGTGGTTGCAACTGGAAACATGGAACGTGGAAAACGCTCCGCCTCCTTGAACGCCACGAAATATGGCCAAAACGCTCGGGCAGCCTTGGTATTTTTAGGTTACGAATTTGCCAGGTTTTAATTAGTACACATGGCCGGAAAAACCAAATGGCCAGTGGTGGGTGGCAACTGTTCTTGCTTCTCCATCATACCTTTGATCCAATTTAGAAATACCATGGAGCCTGCCAAATGGCCAATTAACTCACTTCTGATCAAAGGCAGAGCACTTCCCTTTCAAGGACTCCCATATAGCCACAAGCGATCCGTAAACTAGACAGCTATCCGTGGATTTTAGTGCACTTGAAGAAATAGGTTACGGATTGGGAAAGCATACCCTAGTAATTTAATTTTAAACATTTGAATTGAATTTATTGAATAAATTAGTGATCGATTTAATGAAAATTTGCATTCATAAAATTAAAGATAATTACAGGGTGAAAGCAGATAATATAATCGAATTAAATATTTAAATTGCTTTGCTGGCGCAGTTTCAATATAATCTATGCAATGCCGGAATAATTTTAATATAAATTAGAAAATTTAAATTTACTTCAGTAAAAAATGAATATAATTTACTTTACCTTAGATAATTTTCCAAATGTCTTACATTAACTTAAAAGGACATTATCCATTAAAAATATGAAATTGTAACTATAAACTTTCACAAATAAATATTTTTAAGAGCTTATGAAACGAACTAACACACAAATAAATATTTTTAAGAGCTTATGAAACGAACTAACAAACTTTAAATTTTGTTTATATCACAATATGGATAGTTAATGCAATCGGATTTATTTTAGATGTATTCAAATATTAAAATCTAATTAGAACTATTAGCTGAAAGGTCTTAAGTTTCCAATACTTCATTAATCCTTTCTTGATTTAATTGATGTTAATCGAAAAAGTTATAAATTGATAGTTTTGGGTACTAACTGCTCGTTTTGATTTCCGCCGTGTACAAGAACGTCCGTACATATATTAGTTAGGCGGGGTGGGATTTTGGGCCTGGGATATGGCTGCGCAGAACACGAGATAATCAGGCGAGCCCAGAAAGGGGCCTAGCCTGCTCTTTGTCGAAATTGCATCCATGTCATGCATGCGCATCCATTCATTACCTAGTGGCTGAGTGGTTGGAAGACAGCGTTTGGCGTTTTGTATCCCAGCAAATATGCCGTGTTCGCATGTTATCCCAAATGTCCCTGGGAGCTCAACAGCCCCCCTTAGACCCCCCCAACCCCCCTTTTTCGAGCCCCTGACCACCCCCGGCCGACCAGACAGTGTGTACTTTATTTTGCCGAACGAACAAACATCTTGTCGGACGAGCAAGCAAATGACTTTTCCCGTCCCAACTTTCAGCCGTTGTCCTTTCTGCGTGCCGTGCTTTTTTGTTACCTCTATCGCCACTAGTTAGTCTCGGCAGTTTGTGAGGGTAACGCCACCGAAATCCTTTCAGGTGATACGAGTAATGCCAAAATATTGCATTCAGTTTGGATGGCATCGCCGGATTCAACAAGGTGCGATAGCAACTTCCTCACATGTGGGAACTGTTAATTAAATTTGTAATTGAACTCCTAGAAGATAATGTGGTAGTGTTACATCATTGCTTCGACACAACTCTCTAATTTAAAATAATAAATAATTAACTTCATTAATTATGAACATTATGATAAAAAACTAAAAATCCATCTGATTGTTAAATACTTCGGCCACAAATTGTTTTAATTTAGCCAATATTAAGCGCACAGCCTAATATCTATCGGCTCAAACTATCGATTCCGATGAATTGAAAAAATTAATTTTTGTAGCGATTTTTTCATTTTTTATAAGAGGTTATTAAAAAGGTTATAATTTAAGAAAATTTTATAGAACTGAAAGTTTTTAGCTGTGAATGCCAGTCAATTCGAAATTTTTAAATGAATACAACAAGGTGTGACATTCTAACATTTGAACATTATTTCACAGGATTTTGATTAAAGAACCAAAACTAAAGGTGATTTTTTCGGGATTTTCCCCATTTAAATTAAATTTACTAGTCAAAATAAGATACCGAGCCAAAATAATGACTATTTTGTACAAATAAAGACCTAAAGTATCGATTCCAAGATGATTCGGAAGAATTAATTTTTTGATCGATTTTCGAATTTTTTATAAGGGGTTAGTTCATCATTTTTTGCGAAAATTTGACAAATTTGAACTTTTTAAGCTGTGAATGCCAATCAATCAGAAATTTTATAAGGAATTCAATGAGGTATGACATTCCAACATTTGAACAATATTTCATCCGGTTTTGATCAAAAAACATAAACTATAGTTGATTTTTTTTGGATTTTGTTCCAACTTATCCAAAACCCGACGTATTAAATTTATTTATTGCTAGTTTTAACAAGCTTACCTATGCATCCCAAAATAATATATTTTTTGGATTTGAAGAGGTTATGACCTTACTAGCCTATTAGGAAAATTATATAGCCACTATACAGCCAATTATCTTTAAAATTGCAAAAGTTTATTGCTATTTGCTAAGAAGCAATCAAATAATTTATTATATTCCACCCTATTTTATATGGCAGCTCATCAGTCAGAACAGTTATTATACGGTGGCAACATTTATATTGGCAATTAGCTACTGATTTAACAAAGTGCATTCCGATTAGAATAATTATTTAAGCGGGCAATAAGATGAAAAAAGCTTTAAAAACTAATAGGTTAAATTCACTTATAAAACCTCTTCGCAATCGTCAATGCAGTATTTATTTAGCATTTTATGAGGCGCTCAAACGCAATGGCTAATATAAATTGTAGCCATGGAAGCCGGGCAGCATCTGTTCGGATGCAAATGCTATCTGCGAGCTGAATGGGCATATTTATGGACATGGTACAAGCAAAACCTATGACTCGCCTATCATCCCAGTTGGCTCCATGATCTCAACGATGGCGAATTTCCGCAACTGCTCATGTCAGCGCGTCCGAGTTTAAATGCGATCTGTGGCGCAGGTATCCGCGAGATACGTTCCAGCACATAAAGGTGGTGGTATTCTGGCGGGCTGGAGCCAGAGACAGCCATCGCTGGAAGAAACATGAGCCAAATAAAAAGCCCATTTGCACACAAATTTACTTCCAAAATGCCCAAGATGCGCATCATTCAAACCGAGTGTCCGTGGAATGGGCCCCGGTAACTGGACACCGGATGCAGATAAATCTTTGGGCTGCCGCCGGCTCTCTCCGCAGCCGCTAGTCTTTGTGGACTTTAAAAGCAAGTTGCGTATTGCGGAGCCGAGTCTCGGTCTCGGTCTTCGTCCTCCACTTGAAGCTCGATCGGAATCACGAGATAAGCTCGCAACAATCCCTGCTCGCAGCGAGCGGCGACAAACTTAATTGCGCCTATTCCTGCATTAATTGCACACACACGCGCGAGGATGGCGTCGCTGGGCCGCCGGAATGTGTTAATTAAATATTTAAATTATTCGTTTTCGAATTCGTACATCGTGGCATCGAATGGATCCTTCATTACTCGAATATCGGTCGCCAGCGAAATTTAAAGATGCGGCACGCACGGTTCTCTGCCCCATCCCGCCCCTCTTTCGCAGTCCTTCCGCGCAGGACATACACTTTTGGTCTAGACTGTTTGCGGTCATCGGCAAAATAACAACAACCGCAGCAGCAGCATCTGCATCTGCTGCCTAGAGACCCTACAATCGCGTTCGATCAGCGGGCATTTTTATTTCGCCATCCAACATTTCTGCTGCACAGAGAAAAAGGTCCATTATGGGGTAAATTTGCCTAATTATATTCCTATGGGAAAACTAGATATCTCGCTTCAAAAAAATTCTTAAAAAGTCTCAAAAAAATTTTTTACCATTCAGCGTTTATCAAGCTGTTTCACAGACGACCTAGAAATCCGTCACTAACGCTGATATTAAATTTAAACTTTTTTCTTGGAAGGGTTAGGCGTGTCCGCTGTTTTGTATTCCAGATTGGCGTATCTATTTATCCATTCATATATTATTTGAGTTATTGCTTAGCTAAAAATGTAATAGCATTGAAATATTAATACATCAATTGAAGTATTAATATATAATATCAATATATATAAATAGACAACGGCTTTCAAAATTCACCCAAAATTCTTATAACTTTAATTTAGAAAATACATAAAATAATTAACCGCATAAAAACATAGCGAAACAATATATATATACAAGAAAAATTTTTGATTTCCAAAAGGGTTTCTAAGTATTATTCGATCAAATTAAAAAATGGATAAACTTTTTAGAAATGTAAACTGAAAAAATATTGCAAAACTTTATAACTTTATTTAATATTTTGGCATGAATGTATAAAAAATTACCAATTTGATATTCTCAACATTTTTTCCTGTGTCTTTATGAAAAAAAGAAGAAAAATGACGCCACGCGTCCTTTGGGCGAAAGCCACAAAACATTTTCATTTTATTTTACACGAGCCAAATAGAAGCAATCGGGGCGGGCAGTGTCCTTGCGGTGGTGCAGCACAATTGAAATATATATTAATTAAATGTAGTGCCCCACGGCAGCGGGGTTCGTTGCCAATTGTCCAGTTTTGTTCGCCAATTTTGTGCTGTTTTTTTTCAGTTTTTTTTTTTTTTTTTTTTGGCCCGGGAACTGCAAATGCAAAACGACGACAGGCGAGCAATAAACATGCAGGCCATCAATGCACGTTTCGGCATAGATAAATTTGAAAATAGCAGCGCCGGCGGTGGGAGTTTGTAGTGGAGCTACAAATTAGAGCTGCTGGGCCAAAAAGCTTGGCGATATATGGCTATATATCTATATGGTAGTTCCATCAGCGCGGGCATTGAGCCGTTTAAAAGCCAACCGCATGCAAGTGGAGTGCAGTATGAGTGTGTGTGTGTGTGTGTTGGTTGTGCAACCGCGGAAGTTCCATGGGCAAAACAGAGTGAGGGAGGGGGAGGGGGGGTCAGAACAGAGGCGTCCCGTGTAACCGGCGGCGGGGGCAACTAGCAACTACCAAATACCAACTACCAACTGAAACCGCCGACGCCGCCGTCCTGCAGCGCCAGCGCTCTAGAATGAGTTATTGGCCTTGTTGGCGATTTTATTGCCACGGCGCAGCCATAAAATATGGTAAATTATAGCGGTTTGTTGTTTTGGCCATTTTGTAGCCGAATAATGTTCTACGTGTGCGTCCTCAAGCCCCAATAGACCTGTTCATGTTTCAGCCCCGGATTCGCAGCACACGCCCACAACACAAATGTGGTCTTGTCAAATGGAAACGCGACAAGTTTCTTTGTTTAACAAAAAGGCCCGAACACGCGCCGTTATAATATATCAATAGCCCGAATGCAGGCAATGTTTTATTATTTCAAATTTCAATTAATTGTATTCGCAGCCGAGAAAAAATGCTGGTCAAACAAATTATACGGAATAATAAGAGCAACATCATTTTTGTAAAAAACTGCATTGTCTTGTTGTTTATTGTAAAATATAATACCCCCAAAATGGTATAGAAACATTATAAAATATTGTTAAACAAATTTAAGACAAATGGGTATATTTTAGAGCCCTGAATGAATATATTTAATTTTTTAAAATTTTTTTTGCATCACTAACTTTTTCCTAAGAAATAGCATTGCAATTTTTTTGTGTACTACCTAAACCAAACTTATATACAAGCCAGTGTCTGTTACAAATGTTAAAAAAGAAGGATTCATGAACAATTTTCCGTTTTAAAAAACAATAAATTGTTATCTAACTTAATAATTTTGTATGACCCAACAATAATTAATATCTACAAGCGTTGCACAATTAAAAAGATGCAAGCCTGATTAAATGCACTGCCTCACTCCTTTGCATGTGCTTAAACCATTCTATTGTTCCTGACTTTTCAATTACAGCCACCCCGAAAGCGAAATGGGCATCAGATGCTGCAATCCTTTATGCAGCCGGAGTGAAATCCTTTTTGCCACATTGCACCGAAGAGGCAATTGTGCGGAAAACCCCTAAACATGTTTTGGGTTAATTTAAAATGTGGCCCAGCCCGGATTCGCACAGAACAAAGCGCTAAATTAATGTTGTCATTTTCCACTCGGCGGCTAAAATGGCCAAAGCCAGCCTCCGACAAAAGCCAACTGGACTCATTATGATCTGGACTTTGTTGCTGGCGGCAGTTGGCAGTTGGCCGTTGCATCCCATGCATTTGCGAAAAAGTGCAATTGACTGCAGATGCTACCATGATTCAAGCGGCTAATTTGAAAATTTCGAAATTTATCTAATTGTCCTTACAGCAACCAGATCCCACTGAAGCTTTAATGAGTTTTGAGGCCCTCCCATGTGCCTGTAAATTGCGTATGAGCAAGTCGCACTTTTTAAAGTTTTCAATGAGGTAGCATTGCATTTCAGATTATAAGTTAGAATGACAATATATTCAAATTGATTTATTGACCGTTTAACAATTTTCTTATAATAACAATTCATTTTATCAGAGCAACTTGCAGTCTTGGCTTGAAAAACTAACAACAATTAATTAATTTGTAAATTTTAATGGTTTTTGTAGAAAAAATAGATATGAAAGTCAAGTCAAGGTTTTACTTTTGATAAGATAATGTTTCTGGTTTAAATTCATTTAATTTATATAATTTTTTTTTCCAAATCTTTGAAACGAAGATACTTACTACTTACTATCATCTTAACTGTCTCAATTTATAAGTTTTTCTTAGAATGTATGGTTTTTGTTAAAAAATGCTAAGTGATCAGACTCCAAAAAAAGGGTTGGTGTAGTGACTCAAATTAGAAACGTGTCCCTCGTAAAGTATATCAATCTGATAAAATGAAGTTGTTGCTTCTCAGTTGGTTACGCACAGGTAGCTGCTGCTTATCCAATATTTCCAATATATTGCGATCATTATAAAGGGATCAACTGTCAATCTGAATTACACTGTTCGGTATTGTCCGAATCCGTGGAATTCCATTGCTGAGCTGTTATGGGTAGGTCGATAATTATAATGCGACACCGACGATTTATTATTTTCATTTATAGATGTGACACACGACACACATGTGAGCCCCGTGATTGAATGTATCTATATCTACATATTTCTTCGAAAAAAGCGACCGCTCCCATGTTCGCTGCGATTAATTAAGTTCATTGGGTCGGGGCGCACACATTTATTTATATGAGAGCATTTTTAAGAATATTAATAATTCGAAAGGGATTGTAATACTTTATCATAGAAACAATAAACAAAAAAGGTTTATTCAAAAGAGATGAAAAATGAAAATAAGAATGTGAAATCATGTAAGATGTTTTCACAATGCTCAATTTTTATATATTTTTATGTCGATTGCAAAATGCTGAAATCTTGAACATCACAAATGGAGTGATTTATTCAAGCTTTGCGAATTGTCAATTAATATTAAATTATATCTTAACTTAATAACTTAACGAAATGACGAAATTAAGTGCCTTTAAGTTTATTTAACAGACTTGACTTGCCAGAAATTCTATTGTATTTAGATTAATTATTATTTCAAAGTGTACCATAACCTTCTAAATCAAGTTTTGGTTATTCTCTGTAGAATTCCGGTATTCATTAATCAATAAAAGAAAAATCAATGATTTTATTCAACTTTATTTATCATTAAATTTGCAAATTTATATAAATACTATTTACAGTTACAAAATGTATGCCATAAGAAATGTCTTAAACCAGTTGCTGAACGTAAGTGCATTTTGTGTACGAAGAAGTATGTGTGAATTAACTAAATTACCGCAGTTAATTGCTCGTATAGTACGTACGTATATATGTATGTGTTTATATGCATATATCACAGATACTTAAATTTCTCTACAAATTTATCAAACGAATAAAATAACTAATTACATGTTTACGATTAAGTAACTATTTATGTTTTGCACGGATTAATTATTTGGCCGAGTATATGTCTAATGCATAAAATCGAAGGATTATGCAAAATCTTAAAGTAACTATTTGGGAAACTTAATGTTCCGTTCCACCAATTTAGGATATTTAGCACTAATACAACGTGAAATTTCCTTAAGATCTAATGATGCTATTTAAAATTATTAAGTTGTGTGGATTAAGCACTTAAGGTAGAGGAAATGTTAGTGCGCGAGCTAAGACAAAAAGTTCGGTTGATTTATAGCACGGTGGAGTAGTATTATTGGTATGCCACTGAGACTCGGCGCTCGAAAGATGAATGAGTTCGTGCGGTGTGCGTTTATTTCGAGTCATTAAACCCGAAGTCGAGTGGAGTGACTCAACCCCGGGCCCAAAAAAAAAACATGACAAAAACAAGCACCACCCAAAGTGGGCGGTTAGAAGTCTGAGCTCCACACACAACCCCACCACCACCACCACCACCAACAACCTCTAACCACTTCCCCACCAAGACGTGTGTGCGTCTCGAAATTTTCAGCGGTTGAGTGTAAATATGCTAATTAAAGTTATAAAGCGAAATAATTTATGATATGGTTGGAAATAAAGTTTTATTGCCATACTTAAGCTACATTTATTGCAAAATAATTAGTGTAGTTATCGCTATCTGGTAAATCGTACTCGTAATCGTAATCGTAATCGCGGATTGACCGCCAACTTGCACTTGTCCCGCCCGTCGAAATGTGTAAGTAGTTTCGCTTGCTATTTGGTTTGGTATCTGGTAAACTGGTAAACTGGTTCAAGGTCGCCAAATTACGACCCGGAACGGCTCTCTGTGAGATGGAAGGCATTGGTGCCACCCATATGCCCATGACCATGTCCATGATTATGACCCTGGCCGTGTCCATATCCTGCCGCATCGTTACTGTACAAAATGTTGACCATGGAAGCCACCGTCACCGGAGCGGAATGCATCGAGGAACTGTGGCTGCTCCCGCTGCTGCTGCCGCTGCCGCTGCTGCTGCTGTTGAGCTTCATAGTGGGCGGCGTTTGGGGCGGCGTATCGGGCTGGATCTCGGGAAACCCCACCCGCTGCTGCGGCACCGGATGGATACTGATGGGTGTGGGCAGGACCTTGCCGCTGGAACTGGAACTGGAACTGCTGGGCAGGTGCATGCCCATGGCCTCGGTGTACGCCGTAGGTATCCGCGAATATGGCGATCCGCCGGCGTAGCTGCTCATCATACTCAGCGGCGAACCGAGCTCCATCGAGTGGTGGTGATGGTGTTGTTGCTGCTGCTGTTGTTGTTGCTGCTGCTGCTGATGCGGTGGCGCCGCTGGATGGTGGTGCGAATGGTGGTGGTGCAACTGCTGGTCCGCCGATGAGGGCGGGTAGAAGTTCTGGCCGAGGTACGCCGCGGTGGGCGGGGGCGTCTTGCAGGCGGCTGTGTCGGCCACGCTCCAGATCTTGGGCTTGCTCGCCGGAACTGGGATGCCACAGTCTCTGCTCAGCGGGTTTTTTTGGGCCGCAAAGTCCCCCGATTCCTCCTGGCCATAGCTACTTGGGTGGTAGTAAGGCTGTTCCATTTGTGGGTGCTGCTGCTGTTGCAACTGCTGTTGCTGTTGCTGCTGCTGATGGTGATGCAATTGCTGGGGATGCGGGTGCGTATGCGTGTTGTGGGATTGCGCATACGAACTGTAGGCCGCGTGCATGGCATGGGCGCCGGGGGGCGTGGCATAGGGCGCCAGTCCCCGCATGGCCACCAAATTGTGCGGCTCCCGGTCGAGATCCAGCTTCTGGTCACTGTCCACCTCCTTTTCCGCTTTGCCCAGCTCCGATTTGATAAGTTGATTGCCAGGATCTGGAGATTAAACGATGACGGCGGGAGAGAAAGAGAGGGAGAGACCATGTGGAGACACAAAATAAATTTAATTAATTTCAAGTCGCAGGCAGGAAGCACAGACAAGTTCTTAGAGGACTGCAAAACTTGGCACTTGCAGGAGGTGGAACTTGGCAGCTGGCAGCTGGCAGTGGCAAAAACCCTTGAAATTGTTGGTGGGCGTTGATGCGTGCAACCCTCGCAGCCAGCGGAGAAAGCTTTCAGCAGCAAAATACTCGAGTTTCCGCCGACTACCGCCCAAGCCCCCTTTCCACTGCACCATTTCTATGTGTCGCCAACTCGAACAAGGCCACTTTGGAGTCGAAGTACACCGAGAAAGTCATGGAGCACAGTCACTGACATATGACCTTCTAAATTTGTAAACTACTAAATTATCCCTTAAATAAGCTTTTAATATTACAAGCTTAAACTCAATTGATACAAATTTACTGCTATAAAATGAGCATTAAAAATCATCACACCAAAATTTCAAAAATTGTAATCAATTTATCAATTGATTTATTTAAATAAGCTCATATAACCCTTTTCCGGTTATCTGTCATTTAAGGTTTCTTGTTGATAGGAATATTAATTAATTTTAAAAACCCCGTATTGAAAAATGATTGTAATTTTTAAAAAAAATATAAAATTCAAAGCAGCAAGTATTTCTAATTTTAAAATCTGATTATTAAAAATGTAACTTTTCGATGTATTTAAAAAAATACAATAATCTAGTGATACATATTTCTCCACAAAGTTTTAGGTTAACTATTTCTATGTTAAATTTAAACTATGACAACTTCCAAATACCTAACTTTATTGATATTTTCCCTCAGTGTATCTGTGAATCGGAGTGCGGGCGCAAGGCCACTTTGCCAACAATGTGCTGTCAACTTCCGGGGAGGATGTCGCCTAAGCAGTCAGACAAATAAACGGACGACGGACTTCGGACGGCGGGCAGACGAATGTTGCATAACATTCGCTTCGCCACATAAATTGTACTTAAAAGCCCAGTGCCACAAATCTGCTGAAGAGGCGGGTCAGCCAGCCAAAAAGGCGTAGGAATCATTGGGGCAAGGCGTTTGGAAAACAATATTGTGGGGCTCAAGAAATTACAAAGAGATCGTTGAGGACATACTAATTGAGGTCAGGGACAGGGGAAAACACTCGTAGACTCACCAAAGGCTTCAGTGGAGAGTTTTCCACCATCTCCCGACTCCTTCTCCTTCTCATCGTCGGACATCATGCCATCGTCATCGTCCTCGGTTTTATTCTTGGGCTCCCAGGTCATCTTGTTCTCCTTTTTCAGCCTTCGGCGGGCATTGGCGAACCAGGTGGAGACCTGGGTGAGGGTCATCTTGGTGATGATGGCCAGCATGATCTTCTCGCCCTTCGTCGGATACGGGTTCTTCTTGTGCTCACTCAGCCAGGCCTTCAACGTGGCCGTGGACTCCCGCGTGGCGTTCTTCCGCCTGGCGGCGAGATCATAGTTGGGTCCGTATCTGCAGGTTCACAAAAATCAAACAACGCGAATCAATAAGGCCCATGGTGTAGTTCTGGCCTACGCCCTATCATGGCCACTAATGAGTTTGTTTAGGCCATCGCTGCTATCAGCTTTTTGGGTAAATAGAGCCCCACACACCTTAAAGACAATAATCAGTTATTGGTGGCTGATAACAATCGCTCCCCCGAAACGGAATGCATTTGCAACTTCCTTTCGTCTAGGTCAACAGCAAATGGCAAGAATAGTATTCTATTTCAGCCAGAACCGCGCCTCGGGGCTCAAACTCTAAGCCAGACATACCCTTTTAAGCGATAAATAAAAAGAAACCCGGCAGACGACACGACGAGAAAGTTTTTGTCCCATGGCAACATTTTAAGCCCACTTAAGTTTCCCATTTGTATATTGGTACAGTGGATATTCTTGAACTATAACTATAGGGTGTTTTAGTCTACTCCAGTTTCTTATTCTTTGTGTGCTACTTTTTACAATATTGCAGTAAGTCTTCTTAAACTAATACTTCTAAGAATTCATTGGTTTGTAATACATTTTAGTTGAAGAACCAACTTGAATGAATATATTATTTAAGCTGTATTATTATTAGCTCTAAGTTTAATTTCCCTTTACTAGAATTTGTCTTAGATACCATTTCTTTAAATATAAGTTTTTAATAGGTGTTTACTTTATGAAGCGAATTTAAAATACCAAATAAAAATAAGATTACCAAAATAAGATACCATTTCTTTAAATATAAGTTTTTAATAGGTGTTTACTTTATGAAGCGAATTTAAAATACCAAAGAAAAATAAGATTTATCAAAGTTGTATGTCTAAAACAAATGTCAAAGAAATATACAACCTTTCTATAAAATTACGAAATACTCAGCATCTTAAAAAAAGGTGTCATGGGCTGTATATTTTAAGCTGATATGGCGGTCTAAATATGAAAAAAACATTTTAAAAACTTCTTGCAAGTCCCTTTAAAGCAGTTCCCCTGTATTTCCCCAGCTCTCTGAGTCCAGTCCTAAGCCAAACGTCTTAATTTTGAAATGCTCACCCGTAGGCCGCCAGCGTGGGGTCGTAGGAGTAGTATCCCGTGGTTGACTGCAGACTGGCCGAGGTCCAGGCGCTCATTTCGGTGCTGGGACTGGTGTCCTTGATGCCGTAGGGATTGCTCTGGAATTGGTTTCGGGAATCACCGATTAGTCGCACTTCTCGGGCAGAAAGTGGAGGCAGTGAGCCCCTTGTAAGTCGGAGTAGGCTGCCAGTAGTAGTCTGTGAATTTGTCAGCCCCCAGGTAATCGCGGCAGTTACAAGTTACCGGGCCTAACGAGATGACGGCCAACATGGCGATATCTGCTCGGCCCGTCAACTCGCATTTGCGCGGACTTCCACTGGCTGCACAAAGCCAATTAGCCAGGCCCCTCCCCCAGTTCCCGATCCTTACCAGAGGTGCGTAGAAGGCCGAGTTGTCCACTCCGATGCTGGGATAGGGGTTCTGCTCGTTGGAGGGATACGGTCCGCCGTAGACGCCCACTCCGCCGGATGGAAGTGCCATCCGGGAGTAGCCACCGATGGCTAACCTGGCCGGATCGTACTGACAGGAGCAGACCGTTTGGCCAGACACGGGATCCGTGATGATGGGTCGTCCGTTCTCGCAGCAGGATCCGCGGGCGGGCAGGTCCTGGGCGGCGGATGAAAGGCCGCCTGGCACATCGGCACCACCGCCCACCGCATCTTCCGCCGGCGATGTGGAGAGGCCCTTGTGGCCCGCATGATGCGATGACTGGGAAACTGCACCTGGACTCAGAGGACCGACGGTCAGGCCGGTGGCCGTTGAACCGCCCGAGGGACTCAGCGACGCCTCATTCGTCCCGGACAGCGGCGATCCTCCGCCATGGCCGCTCTGGCTGTCGGTATTGGCGGTAGTCAGCTGCAAAGATGCCAGCGGACAAAAAAAAGCACATTTTAGCAATGCCGAAAACAAAAACCTTCGACCCAAACATTTTTGCGGTCAGGGAACCTCACACTGTACGAAATAAAGTTATTTTAAGATAAAGGTACATCTATATAGAAGGCTTATTTCTATTGAGTTAAAATAAAATTGGGAAGATAATGCTCCGTAGTGAATGGAGGTTCCAAATAAACACCATCACAATTTTGAATAAATATTTTCTAATTTATATGACTGATTAGTTACCTAATATCTGTTTAAGCCAATAAAAAAAACTTGTGTATCCTAGATAAAGTAAACTTTTTAATCATATGAAAAAAAGTTGTTGAGTGATATAAAAAAAATAATCTACCTTTTAAAATAATCAAACTTAAATTGTACAATGATTAAACTGAACAAAATCAAACATCATTTTTAAAGATAATTTTGAAAGAGGTTTATTTAATTTTCATTTTAAGTGTTTAATAATTAAAGTCTTTTAGGCTTGTGTTACCCAATTATTAAATTTGATGACACAACAACGCCCCAAGTTTTGGGACAATAAAATTGCATAATGATTCCAGCCAGTTTTCTTTTAGTGCATGAACAGGTGAAGTTGGCAGGACACGAATGAGCAAAGAGTGGAGAAACCGAGAGAGGGACGAAGGGAGGGGTAAGCGCAAAGGCATGTCCCTGCCGACCAGGTCGAAATCAACAAAGCAGATTAAGATGATAACTCCAAATGTCAAAATATTTTATTGGCCTGGCGCATTTTGCGATCCGTTCCATCTATTTTCACTTCATTAATTTTCAATTTATCACAGTCAGATTTCAGATACCGCTTCGTCCGAGCGGCCTGCACATCGCACATTGGGAATCGGGGAATCGGGGAATCGAGGAATCGGGGATCTTTGAAGAGGGTTCTGTTCTGGGGTCGGGAGTATCAGTGGACCGATCGATCGACCGACCGACCGAGAATGGGCACGGCCCGGCCAAAAGGGCAATCAAATGATGAGGGACGCAGGTAGGCTCCTCACTCCCCGCTCACCGCTCTCCGATCCCAATACACCCATCCCTACATCCCATATCCTCTGGAGCGATAACCGCATCGAATCGGAGACATCTGAGCCGGCGGTTAGAAACCCCTGATTCGGATCGAAAATCCCAAAAAGTGTAAATAGAAGGTCGACCTATATGATGACTGGCTGTCAAGTCCACTTCACGCGCTTCAAAATATCTGGATTACATCTGACACCGGTCCTAATAACAATATCTTATTCTCTTTTTTTTTGAAATTCAAATTGCTACTGTTCCCAAACATTTCTCCGCCTATCGCGGCTACCGACTGCAATCCTCCCCATATGATTTAAATAATAATGGTAATTCAAGGCTAAACGAGCTGATTCGCCAACACCTCCTGCCAACTGGTGGCTATCTAATCGAGGGGCAATTTCGCGCCGACGCCAAAAAGCACCGGGAAATTATTGCATAATGAAGGTGTTTCATGAATGAAATCTAATGAATTCTGAATGAATGGAGCCAGGGCGAGTGGACAACGACTGTCTCCGCTAATGTACAAAACGCTGGACGCGCTCATTTCTTATTATTCTTTATTTTTTATGCGATTCGAACATCAATTTCAGTTTTTGTGGCCGCCCATAAAAAACACATATCGGGCGACGACGACGACAGCAGCGAACTGGGAACTTGGGACCTGGACCTGGACTTTAGTGGACTGGCTGGTCAAGTTTGGTGCGGGCTTGGGTTCCGAACAGCGCTTATTATCGGCACGCAAGTCAGTTTATTTTTAATGGTTCCCACTCACCCACTCTGCTGAAAAATCGCAGGAAGTGCAGCGAAGAGCGCCCAGCCGCTGAGTTTATCGCAAGGTGACTGCAGATAGGATAAGCCACACTCTGGAGAACCAACTTTGACTTTGGGTTTGAGTTTGGTTTTAGGTTTGGGCTTGGGTTTGGGTTTTTTCTATTCTGCGGAAATGCTGAAACTTGTTGGCACCTCCTAAATGCTGTCTTAAAGTTGTGCACTCTTTTATGACTTTTTCGGACAGTTTGCTGTCGGTGTCAAATTGCGGCCAGTTTAATAAGTAATATTCCTGGAGTGCCCACAAAGAATATTTTATATTCTCACTTGTGGCTAGCTTTCATCTATCATTTAGAGGGTTCACGGAAGGAAACTTTAATGAACTTAAATTGTACCTTCTAGATAGTTTCTAGATAGTTTTGCTATAAATTTGTGTATATGATTTAAAATATGGTGATTTATGAATAAATAAATAAAGAAAATAAAGAATTATTAATTTTAAATTTGTTATTTAATGGGTTATATAAAAATAAACCTTTCAGCACTGGAGTGGGATTTATTTCTGTAAGTTCTTCAAAAGAATCAAAAGGTACTAAATAATTTGTATAGCGCTTATATTTTAAAGCTGGTAATAAATCAAATTAGCACTTTTTTTATGATTAAGGGCTGAATATACTTATGAATAAGTGATATACAACAAAGAATGGAATAATAAATAAATAAAGAATAATACGTAAACCAATAAAACTGCTGCCAACTTAGACATTTCTTGTTTTGAGAAGGAATTAAATTACTATTTCACAGCAGTGTCTGAGAGTTGCAACAAATTCCATTCACATGCAAATGCAATGATACCAGAATATGTTTCTCTCTAATTGCAAGTATGAAACTATCCGAAGGGCAGACAACTCAAACGGGGAATACGAGCCCGATTTTTATGCGCCATGACTAAAGTTCAAAGTGGCAATTCAACCTTGCATCTTTAACCGCAAAGCAAACATGAAATCTGCAAAACAGCTGGACAAGCGAAAGTCTAAACGAGCCGAAAACCAAAAACAAAACCAAAAAAAAACAAAAACTAAACAAGGAAAAAAGAGGCGAATATTCATCGACCGTAATTCGGTTGAACCGGCATGGACATCGTGTAAATCTCTATCTCAGCCTTTGAAGTGCCCATATCCAGTCGATGGCAGTGCAAATGCAGATGCAGATGGAGATGCAGATGCAGATATATTTACAGATACGTATCCGAATGGGGCTACAGATGGCCACCCGCACCCAGTGGGTCCAAGATGTTGGGAGAACTGGTGCCGTCACTTTACGGTTATTAATTTTATGATTTATGTTAAAGCTCACGAGTCCGCCTACCAAATGCCCATGCTCATTTCACAAACGCACGAGTAGCCGTACTATAAGATATGGTATGGATGGTATGGTATAGGTATAGTATAGTACCTATATATACATATATGCCAGCCAAGACAAAGGAGATCGGCATTGTTGTTGTGGTTATTGGGTGCTGCTGCCGTTGTCGCTGTTGTTGCTGCTACCGATGGGATGCGTTTATGGATTTTGTTTTTGCACTCCTAACAACGACTGCGAAACAAAAGCTATTGGGTTGGGGTTTTTTTTTTTTGGGGCTGTGTGCATTGGGCTTTGGACTGGGGGGCCTTGACGCCAGCACCGAACAATAAGCGAAAATATGAGGATCCCAGGCAGCAAGGAAGCTGCCAGTCGAACGATTCCCTACAAAACAAACACATGTTCGCATTCGCATTCGCAATCGCAATCGCATTCGCAGTCAACTTCTCCGGCGACTGCCGCTTGGATTTGGCATATTCTCACATTCATCCGCAGGATTGCGCTGCCAAACGAGTACGCCATATTCATACAGATACCCACTTTCGAAGGCACACGGAGAGAAAAAGGACCATCTATAGAAATTACATTATAAATCCCCTTTAAAAACCTTTTTTTCACCAATGAAATAAATAAAATTAATCAAAGCGCTCCATAAAGATACCGATTATAGATGCAGATATTTCATAAAAATCAACTTTACTTTCATTCTTGCTTACATTTATTAATTGTTTATTCCAACAAATAAATTGTGATTGCAAATGAAAATAATGACGCTTTAATCATGTACAAAAAGCCATGTTTGAATTTCCTTTTCTACTAAAAAAAAATTACTTATTTGAAAAAAACTATTTAATTAAACTGTTTAATTAAAAACAAATGCTTAACATATTTAGAAAGCAAAAGATATTTTTGAACTGTGAAAAATGCGACCAGTTTTATTTACATTGGTTAAAGTTAATCTTTTTTTGATGTTACTAGTTGGTAAGCAATTTAAAAGAATTTTTTTCTGTGCATTAAAAAGCAGAAGGAGCTGGAGGACAGTCCTGAAGTGCGTTTTTGCTAATGCGAATAAGTTGCTTTGTTTTTTGCGCTCCTCGCTTATTGAATTAAGTTTCGGTCGCAGTAGTCGCAGAATTCGCAGTGGAACAACTCTTTCCCAACTGCGGTCTCAATGTTTGCATTAAAAATTCATAAATCAATTATGGAATGCACACTGCGAAATATTAGTTTTTTCTCGCATCATTTACGGGCCTGTCCTTTTGCGTCCCGAAGGAGGATTGGATGGGGGGTTGAGGAAGGGGAAGGGGAAGGGGCAGGGATATATTGCTTATGGGTTCCAGGACTCGACATCGTCGCGCCGCTTTTTGCGGCCTTAGAATTTTAGTTATTTTGCCATGAAATGCGTGAACAGCTCGCATGGGAAGTTAAGAATTCCCGATGTGCCGCTCGTCTCGGCTACTTTTACTGCCAACTGTCAGCCGTTGATTAAATTCATATATTGCATGCGTCGACGTTTTTGCCTCATTTTTGGAATGCCGTCTTGGCGTTGAAATTAAAATTAAATTAATGAATTCGCCGGCGAGTCTGTGGGCTGTACGATGTGTGCACTGCATAAATTGTAAAGTTTATAAATTTGGCACCCAGTCGACACTGTGCAGATAGCATCTCCTGACCAGTCTTTAATTGGGCTTAGTAGCCCCGACTAAATGGCTTCCATGGCAATGGGGGCAAAAACCAAATGCAAATGAGGTAAAACGATGACAAAATCCTGGTGGCTTTTAATCGATCTGGCAAAAGGCTTTGCACATCTGCAACCATAATTATAGTCGATAATCTGAGCGTTCATTATTTTAATTATTGTAATTTACCAAGTTTGCATATTATAATAAATGGTCCACCACTCCGGCGGCTTCATTAGCATAAATTTATGCCGGCAGACATGGCCCGGACATATATATATATATATATAAATATATTTGAGTGTGTATATATATTGGCAGCAGGACACAGGTCCCCGGATAAACGCATAAGTCTAGCATTGACGCATTAGACCACATAGTAGTCGTTGAACAAGGCATTACACAGCCATCGAAAGGGCTTTGTAGTTGCAAGTGTTTCGGCCCTGTGCTTCTCCCCTCCCCTCTTGGCCCCAAAAACGCCGGCCAACTAATTTGAATTACTGAGCTCGGAATACCGGGTAATTATGACCAGACCTCGGACGATGCACCACCACTCCCCGGATTTCCCCCAGTTGCATCCAAGGCGATGGCGGTGACGGCTGTCCTAAATTGTGAAACATTTCTTGGCGGCGGGGCGGCCATTATGGATATATGGATATGGATCCAGGAGCCCCACCAACCAACCGGTGCCAAAAGTGCTTGAATATTCATGTGTCGCCCCTGCTTTCCCCGCCAGCTTAAAATGTAAATTTAAAGTTATTTTCACCACCGTCCATTATTAAAGATTTCCCTCGCACATGCCAAAATTTCCGAACTGACTCACTAAATTTCGGGTTTTTTTCTGAAAATCACTTTCATGTCTCTGGGTGTGCCAAATATTATTTTAAACGGAGACTAATTCTACGGGTCCCCATAAATTGTGTGTTTGAAGTGTTTATTGAAATGATTAAGTTATGGTTGCATATTGAAGCGACAGAGTTGTAAATCAAAATATAATAAATATTTTGAGATAATAAATAAAACCAAATGTATTATTTATTTTCAAGGTAAAAGCAACCATATGCGTATTTAAATTTAATGCCTGACAGTAGCTATATAAATAAACTTGCTTAAATTCAAATTGCAACTTATTTGACTGGTTTTTTGGGTGATTCCTGTTTTTGTAAGGCTTTCCTTACAAGTTATTTTTATAATATTTTGGCAATGCAATACAAATGTTTTTTTAATTTAAATGGAATCGAGAGATTATACAAATTGTGGGTAATTCGGCTTTAAACAGTTAATTTAAACTAGTGTTTTTATTAATTTAAATTAAAGATTTGTATTTTTCCCTCCTCCGGGAACAATTGTAAAAAAAAGTTAACTAAATCTTTAAAAGTTAAAAAAAGTTAAAAGTTAAAGGAATACTTTCCGTTATATCCTTAACAATTTTGTATTAGTGCTTAATTTCATTTTTTTAATAAATTTTATAAAAATTATTAACTTCTCATTGTTAAACAGGTTGGTTAATAAAAATAGTTCAATAGAAAGATTTAAAAAGGTTTTTTTTTATATGAAAAGTTTTAAGTTACTTTTTTTACCAAAACTATACAACAAAATTGGTAATTCCCTTTTAGAGCTGGTGTCAAATTTCATTACTAAGCTTCACCAAAGCTCATAAAAACTAATCATGAATAGTACAACAGTTAAGCTTATAATATAGCCCAAAAGTGTGACTTGCCCAGATAAAAACCCACCTGATTTGCCGTCGGGTAGCCAGCGTATCCAAACTGCGCATATGCAGCCATTGTCTCGCTGGCTGAATTGGCTTTAAAAAGCGGCGACACGCGAGTTCACTGTGCCTGGTTTCACTGTGGGGCGTCCGTCGTCGTTCTTCCGTTTTTTTTTCCCGTTTTTTGACTATTGAGGATGCGGATGTGGATGCTGGCGGAGCCCTCACAAAAGGGGTTGGGCTGGGGCAAGGATGTGGGGGTGGTTACGGGAGGTTCGAGTGGGTGGTTGGGTGGCAAGTGGGTGGTTGGGTGGCTGGGTGGCTTTGGCGTGCGTGCTCGACGGCTAAGCACTCTGGGCGCTTTTGTTGTTTGCTGGCTTGTTGGGTGTTGCGCTATTGTTGTTGTTGCTGCTGCTGGCCTTGTTGAAAATTGATAAAACAAATTGTCGATGTCGAGCAGTTCTGTTAATGTCGCCGGAGCCGGAAAATGTTTTGTTTGTTTTGTGTGACTTTGCTTTTTTTCATCCGTTTTTACTTCATTTTTATTGACTCTGTTTGACTCTTTGGCGGCCGGTTTCAAAAATGTTGGAAAAAAACACAGCCAGCAAACCAAATTGGCTTCAAGTGTTTGCCGCAAACAGATTTACAAATGTACGCGGCTCTTCAGTCTTTAGTCAAAGAATGTCAGCACAGGTCTTAAATGTTTGCTCTTGGTTATTTACTAACTGATGCTGTATATATTTTGTTGGGATTATTGTTGATACTTTAAGAAATTGCTGTTTTTGAAATCTAGCACTCTTTAGGATAATCTTCCAATTTAATTATTGTTTAAAGTCAGCTTTTAACATTTTTAGATACTATTGCTTTATGGTCCATTTTTGTAGTTATTTTTTAAATGACTTTTTGAATTATCGCAAGTACTATAATATTTTTGACTGTTAAGTTATAAGTTGTTTTGTTTTAAATTTTGTATTAAGTTTTTGAATATTATTTTATTTCCATGAATTTTTTATGTTGCATTTTGTTATGACTTTGTCTTTTCGGGGCTTGTGGTTTGCTTTATTTTTTTATTTATTTTTTAATTATTGCACGCACTTTATTATTTACGGCGGTTGCATCTGCCGATCCGATACGATCCGCTCCAGTAAAACGGGTTCCGCAACCTGTCAGCGGGATCTCAACGGTGACGGCTGGCAGTGACTGCTACTGCGACTTTGGCCAGTGACTGTGACTCAAATTGGTAACTCGTTTTCGGGATTTTTGTCTCGGCCTTTTTTCGAGTTTTTTGGGCGACGCGGCGGAGATGCCAAGATGCGAAGATGCGCACCTATTCGCGTTTCGAAACAAACTGTTTTTCGGCCGCTCAGCGAGCAGCGCGGTTGTGTGTGACAGAGAGCGCAAATGCCGAGGGAGCAGGATAGCTGCATACCGAGAGAGAGTAAGTCAGCAAGGACCTCGCTGATTGGTTAGCGTTCCAATCAGAAAGGGAGCACTGCTCTCTGGGTTGTCTCGCTTTCTCTTATGTGAGTGATCCGGCCGAAAGGGAGATGGAAAATACTCTCTGGGGCTCTTGTTGCTTTTTCTAGAGTACGCCCACCTCCAAGCACTGGAAAGTGAATCGGCGCTCTCTTTCTGCTTTCCCCTCTCTGTCGCCGTTGGAAGCGATTTCATGGCGGACCACGATCGAAAGGCTTCCCAATTGGATAATGTTTCCATAGTTGGCTAAAAGTTTTCCGATATTGATAAAAAATACAATATAAAAATAATTGGAAAGACAACTATGAAGTTACTGAAGAATTGGTATCATAGGATCTTGCTAAAATGGGAATAATAATAGGTGATAAAACAAACATAAATTGTAGAATTTTTAGATAATTACATTATTTTGGCAACATTCAATATAATTATACGTTTCTAAAATAACATTTGTTTAAAAAAAACATTAGATAAATCTTTAGTTAATAACAAAGCTGTCAAAAAAAATTAGAGACAAATTCGAAAACACATCCAAAATAATATTATTAATTTATGTTGAAAATAAGAAATAAAAAAAAACAATTTAAAATACATATAAATACACTTTACATATGGGTAAACAAATAAACAAAATTAAAAGTTATTAATACATAAGCAACAATATTTTACCAATTAAATATTTAAGTCTTGAAGACATTCCTAACAACCAATGAATGTCTCAGTTTTTTTATTTATAATCGTTAATGTTAGGTATTTCTTTGACACATTTCTAAAATAATAATATTTTAGAACAAAAAAATGCTCCCATATTATTTATATAAAATAAATTAAAATTGAGATATTGGTAACATAAAAGAATGACATTTTTCATTTGTTAATGGTAAAAGTGCAAAATTCCGTGACTTTTTTTTATTTTTAAGATATTTTTGTTAACTTATCAAAAAAAATGCTAATGCCTTCCTACATATTAGAAAGTCTCCCTTCACGGAAAATCGTAGCTAATTGGCACTAGCTAATCGTAACAAGAAACCGAAAAGGGAAAAAACAAACAAACAATCCGATCCCATTCGATCCGAGGATGGGGGCGTGGCCCGGTCCACTCGAGGGTCCTTGAGTCGAGTACGTTCTAATTAATGGTAAGCGGAGCAGACGGAGAGGGGAATATTTTTGGGGAATTTCTGTAAAATGAGTATTTTGATGTTTTGGGGTGTTAACGCGCTGCCATTTATTATAAATGCGAGCGCATCTCAAAGTCAAAAGAGACGCACATGTGTCCCTTTTTTCGGTACTTACAAATGTACTCGTATGTAAATGTGTGCGCCAGCGCGTCATTTGCATAGGAAAATGCATCAAGTATTTTTGGGAAAAGTGCCAGCCTGCCCAACTCGTGATCGTTACAGTTATTGTATACTCAATTGCTGGACGCTCTCGGCGGCGCCAGGAAATTCTACACCCACTTCATGAGTCCTTAGGATACCCACCAGATTTAGAAGGATACACATGAAAGAAACACGTTTTAAAATAAAGCATTTTATTTCAAAATTGAAAGCAGAAGGTTTAAAGTTTGAACAATTTTAAGACGAAATGTAAGAATTATCATTCTTCAATTAAAATTAATTTAGAAATTGTGATTGATTTAGTTCCTAAATCTTATCTTAAAGTGTTTGTTTATATATATAAAGAAATTCATGGAATCGTTTATAGTCTTCTTATTTTAAAATCAAAATCTAAATATTTATAGTTCTTAAAATACCAATAAGATCTTTTGAAAAATTAAGAAACTAATCTTCAAAATAAATGATTTCTTTACTAATTAATTTTCTCAAAATATTGATTGAAGTTTAAAATTTTAATCTATTTTGGCGATTCCAAAAATTGCATAAAGTGTTGTTTTGTGCAGTGTTGGCTTTTCCTCCATCGATTTGTGTGAGTGATTTGTGAAATGATTTTGGATATGCGAACTGTGGCACATGTCGCAATACCTTGGGAGCAACTAGGCTGTCCCCATAAATGTCCTGATCCCAGGATTCGCATTGTGGGAGCTCTGTTTTCATTTAGTGCAACACAAACTCGAACATTCTTCACTCGGTGGACAGGACATGCAGATTATATTGAAAACAATTTAAATGTAGATTTTGGCGTTAAGAGATATTATTCTTCGACGCCAGGTGCGTTGTTTCAGGCACACAAGCACATTCGCACACTCTAATAAATACGAGTGTGTACAAATTTAACTGCTAATGTGTGTGTGGGTGGTTGGGTGGTTGGGTGGCTGGGTTGGTTGTTTCTGGGAGGTGGGTGGCAGGAATACAGCTGCACAGAGAGTTGCAGGCACCGCCTCCTCCTCCTGAAAGGCTTCTTACTTAAGTGTTGTTTCATGTCACCTGGAAAGCATTTGGACATGAAATTGTCGCTTTTCAGTATGTGGCACACACACACAGTTACCTCTCGGCGAAAAATCTTCTACACACACACACACACACACACACATACACATACACACATGAAAAGGAGGAAGGATAGTGCTTCTGGTGAATATAATAAAATCCTTTTCGCAAAACGATAAACGATAAAGTCACCGGAACAAGCACAAAAAGGACTCTCCATGCAAATTGCTTTAAATGAATTTGTTTTCGTTTGTGTTTGGGTCTGAGTTTTGAGTTCTGAGTTTTAAGCCACGACTCCAAGGGGAGCCATGTTTGGTGTTTCAACACTAAAGATTCTGTTACAAATTGTCATAATCCTCTGGCATATTCTCCATTTTTAACACGAATTTCAGGTGATTTCAGCAGGTGGATGGGCGGGCGGCATAGCCAACCCCACTCACCAATCAGTGTTTGGCGTTATCAGCCATTCCAGATAGCGCTATCGTCACCTGGCCATCTTATCGACCACTCGAAAATGAAATTGCTGATCAAACAGAACAAAAGCGCACACAACATTCTCCAAACATTCATAAATGGAAACATACTTATTTACTCACTTTTCAAAACAAATCAACAAATCGGTGCTCTTTGTGGTTCAAGTGCCGATCGCCGAAGTCAAAAGCATCCGATGTGTTAGACCCCGATTTGGAAAGGGAATGAGAATGGGTAGGGGAATAGGAATGGGTATAGGAATTGGTATAGGAATTGGTATTGGAATGGTTCAGACCCTTTCCTCCGAATTCTTTGCGCGTGCGTTCCCTTTTGTCGGCGTTTTGACATCGACATCCCATCCGCAGTCACGATTGATTGTCGCAACAATTGACGTGATTTCTAGTCTCCAATTGGTTTTCGAGGCCCGACCGCTCCAGAATTATCGGTGCCAAGCCCCGCACGTGATAAGTCGGGGATATGGAAGTGCCCGGCCAGTGTACATATATACTTTGTGGGGCCCACGGCAATTATAAGTAGATGCTTTGTATGGACAGCTGTCCGTCCGTCGGTGGCATGCGTCACGACCGACATCGCCACATGCCCCGTCACTGGATCTTCGACTTCGAAGTTAAGATTCTAGGTGTTTGGCATGATTACCACGTCGGAAGTGACTCGGAATGGGTACACTTTATTCTAATTGCGTTTTAATGAGGAGCCGAAGCAGTCTAGAAAAGAAAGTGAATTTTCAGTGCCCTAAAAAATAATGAAAAAGAGGGTAAATGTATACCAAGGAATTCCTTAGATCGACTTAGACTCGGTGTGGTAAAAAAAATATAATTAAATAAATAAAATTACATGTACATACATAACAGGTTTTATTTTTTATGTTTTTTAATAAAAATATATTTTATAACAATGAGTTAAGTGAATTTAGGCTCACATCTTAATGACACAACTAACGAATATTCGAAACTATTACACTTAAAATTTATTTAAAGTTTCGAAGTGCAGTATTTATATTTAAACAATTTAAGCTTTTAATTGTTTTCTTAAAGTCAATAAATTATACCTTGTCTTTCTTCAGAAAAGCAACATTTTTTTATTTTTTCATATTGCCCTAAGGTGAAGTTTGCCGTGCAAATGGTTATGATTATGCACACAAGAACGACAATAAAATATTTTAACTCTGCAGATAATAATTAACACTAATATAACGACGATATAAAAATAAATCTATATTACTCAACTTTCAGTCTGCTTAATTGACTGCAATCTTGGCTGCGCCCTTGCGCTTCCGTTCGAACAAGAAAAGTTTTCGCTACCAATGTGGTTTGATGTTGCCAAAGTTAAGTCCCTCAAGAGGATGTGCGGTACACGGTTTTAAGTACATACCTGTACTTCAGAGAACCGAAATGAGTTCAAGGATATACAAAGTTTTTGAAATTACCAAAAGTTCGTTACAACGAAAAGTATGCTATAAAAGCGGATAATTGCTAACTCCGAGCAGACAAACTGATGTTGAAATAGATTGTCGAATGCTAAGTACTTAACTTTTTTATTAATTAATTTGCAGGCAATAAAAATATCCTTTGATAATTTAAATAAAAACAAGCAATCTCCCTTTTTTCTGATTTTTAAAGTCACTTACCTTTTTATATAAATTTATAACATAACAAAT